GAAGTGAGATGCAATTTTACATAAGCCACGATGTTGTACATTGGCATCTTGGTCTCTCTTATATTGTTGTTAGGTGCTGTCGTCTCTGACTCGTAGTGACCCGATGTACAGCAGAACGAAACGCCACCCAGTCCCATGCCAGCTCCATGATCCCAGCTGTACCTGAGCCCATTGCTGTAGCCACTGTGTCAATCCATCTTGTTTAGGACATTCCCCTCTTCTGTTGACCTTCCACTTTACCAAGCATGATATCCTTCTCCAAGGAATGATCTCTTCTTACAACATGACCAAAGTAGGTGGCATCTCTTAAGCAAGTCACTAAAAGATCATCTAATATTGAGGAGATACACAACTTTCACTTTCTCTCCTTCTATACTATAAATAATGAGATGAGCTTTTTTCTATTACTACCATAGTTCTTAGATGATCTGTTTTTCTGATTTCAGCTAGAACCCATCAGGAAGTATGCCAGAGAAATGTCTTTGAGGCATCATCATGTATGTGAGATTGGGATTAAATTCAATCACAGAGTAGCAAAAGCAGTGTAAGTTACTTTTTTGACTTATGACTTTTATTGAAGTTGGATCACACCTTTTGATTAAATCCATTGAAAGCCACTTATCCTTCATTTAATAATGTCTCACTGTACAAACCTGGCACCATTTGCTACACCAATGCTTTTTCACCCAGTGAATGGGGATATAGGACTGTGGATGAAATTGCATAATCCTCAACTCTTCCCATTATCTCTTACCTCAATTTCATACGTCCTCTCAAATCTCTTAGTTTACTTCCTAGTGCAGAGAAGAAGCTAGACATTCAGATGCAAGCATTTACTGGATTGTTATTCATGGTAAAAGCTAGAAGACATAAACATATTTTTGTCTTTGAAGATAGAAAAGAGAAAGCAAGTACACCAAGTAGAACAGAGAAAACAAGTGGTGTTTTTTGGGGTAGGGATGGAGGAATGTGGGGTGGGAATAGAAAATGATGTTACTCAGTGTGCCTATTTCTTGGTTTAGATTATATTTCTGTCCAGCTTGACCTCTGAAGATAGGTATCTTATTTATATCACCTTCTTTCCCCATTTAGGACAAGATTGGGCTGCCTGGAGCTAAGTTCTCCTCACAGGGCAGGCCCATTCTCCCTGTTCCCAGAAAGAGTTCAGAGATATTGAGCAGGTGTCAAAGGAGGCAGAGGAGGCCCAAGTATGTTACATAATTTCTGTCTTATGAGGAAGAATCCTACCTAGGAAAGTCAGGTCCAATAAATTTCCGAGGTTAGTCAGTCAACTAAGAAACCTGGAGACTGAAACATAAATTCTTACATTTCATTACTTATTTGGGATTTCTGGTGGTGTAGTGCCTAAGGCATTTGACTGCTAACCAGAAGACTGGCAGTTCAAACCCACTAGCCACTCCCTGGAAGGAAGATTGGGCAATCCATTTATGTAGTGATATTGCCTCAAAACACAAGGAGGGGTCGCCATGAGTCGGATCTGACTCCACCGCAGTGAGTTTGGTTTTTTGGTTTATTACTTATCTAAGTAACTAAACTTCTTCAAATAATAATTTAAATGGTGGAAAATGACCATATTTTTACATGACTCTGAAATGACTTGCACTTGCTTTGTGATTTAGATCTTTATGTGGCTCTGGGTACTATCTTTGAAGAAATAGAATGTGTTAATAATATACTTTTTCATCCTACTTTTGAAAATGTGTTACTATTCTTTTAGCTGTTCCATGAACTAGAACTAATTTTAGAAAGAACGGAATTGAGAATACTTTGAAAAATGTATTTGTTTTTCTTTCTAGGGAATTAGTTCTGCTGACTAAAAAACAACCTAAAGCTAACTTTTCTGAAATTGCCAAACTGGTCAGATATATTAAAAATTTACATCAGACCTGTTGTGAAGGAAATACAGTAGAATGTGTGTTTGGTCGGGTAAGATTCTCTTTTTGCTTAATACTCATTTCAGCCTCTACAAAGATATAATTCTTAAATAGAGATGAAATGATAAATAGTATAATAAAGTGACATAATAAATCCAAAGAAGTAATAGTCATTTCTCAATATTACTTGTAGAATACTGTTTACCCTCCTCTCTTTCCAGCTCATGCATTCCTTTCTTTGTGCTTTCCTGCCCCTGTTCCTTTTTCCCGTTTTTCCTTCCTTCTTTCTTTCCTTCCTTCCTCCTTTCTTCTTTTCCTCCTTCCCTCCCTCTTTCCCTTACTATCTCCCTCCTTCCCTTTTTCTATCTCTCCCTTCCTTGTTGTTCAGATTATTCCTCTATTATGTGCATTTTTAGAGCTGGCTTCTGATTTACCTCTGAATGAAGATTATATGTCATTCATCTTTGAGTCTCTTGTAGAATCCTTACAATAGCAGCTGATACCTCCAGGCCACATCAACCTAGGAAGAAGGGTAAATGACTAAGGACAAAAGTGTAGTATCAGGAATTATGGAGAAAGGGGGCAGGGTGAACATGGAAGTCACCTGCACCACATCTAAATATAAAATCCCCAAATCCAGAGAAGGAAAATATTCTAATTTAAAAATCTGAAAAGGTTTTAGTAAGTCATGAGTTAGTTGTAAATCATGTTTCCATTCATTCTGCAAATTGAATAGTTTTCATCATGATTTTTTTTAAAAAAGTAGAAGTAAAGCAAAACTAATAGCAGCATTTCATATAGAAATTCATGACTCTATGGACAATAAACCCCAATCCCAACAATTTTAGTCCTATTACACAACAGATTAAGGGATGTGGGTAGCAATAGCAATTAAAATGCAAAATAATTGACTAGAGAATTCAATAGAATCCCTAGGAATCCAAGTCCTAAAATTTCACCTTTGCTGTGCAGAGAGAGTTAGGATCAGAGCATAGCTTTTCCTTGGGAGCCATTTGAGTTGCCACATCAGAGCCATGGATGTGGCTTTCAGCTCCCACCATTGAGTAGAGGAACAGCTGCCACTGCCAATACCATCCTGGAGATGGAAAATTTAAAGTTGCTCCTTGGAGTGTTGTTTTGCATGACAAGAATTTCAATTGATGCTGGAGAGAATACTATTCTGCATTCCTGAAAGAGTGCTGGCTTTTAGAGATAGGTTATCAGAATCCTATTTGGATGAAGAGTAGGTGAATTTGAGAGAAAATTTAAAAGCATTCACAAAATCCACACTAATTAAAAGAAATCAAAATCTCTAAGATTCTGTAACACAGTAACAATACCTATGCCAAAACAGAAACTCTAGAACTGCTCCCATTGTCATTTGGACCATAACAGGAATGAGAGAATAACCTACAGTAATTAATTATACTGACACAAATAAATTAAACAATCACAGATTGTTCTGGTATCATAGTACAGACTATAATGGAAACACATGTAGAGTTATCAACTTGACTAGGAAGGATATTATTTATGCTTTAAGAGATTTTTCATGTATTTTAGAGATATTTTGTTTTGTTTTTAATTAGGATAGATTCCAAACATAAATAATTTTTTTTTTTTTGTCATTTTAGGGTGATCATTTTTTATTTCTATGTTTTGACTTATTCATTGGCTGCTGTTGTTGTTATGTGCCATAGAGTCGGCCCCAACTCATAGTGAGGTTTCTGAGGTGGTATCACTATGGAAGTAGATTGCCCAAATTATATTAAAATATTTCTTAACTTTTAATCATCTTTATATTCCTCAAGTCAATTCTATTTTACTATATCTCTAGACATGATTGGCTAATACCTATATACAATTTAAAAATCTGCATTATATTTAGATGTGAGAATAGTCAGTAATTTTGTTTTTTGGCACATTCTTTGTTATGTTTTGGTATCAGCTATGTTAATTTCCATAGAAGGAATGAGAATTTATTTTTCTTTTGAATTCTCTGAAATAATATAAATAGTATTAAGAATTATTTCCACTCCTCGGAAGGAAGATGGGGCAATCTACTTCCGTAGTGATACTGCCTCAGAAACCCAAGGAGGCATCGCTATGGGTCGGGTCTGACTCCACAGCACATAACAACAACAACAACAACAAGAATTATTTGGTTGTTTGAAAGTTTTGAAAGCATTGACCATGAAACCATGAGGATTCAGAAACTATTATGGAGTTGGGGTAGGGATAAAGGTGGATGGGGATGGATGTTAATCTGACATCTCTTTTTTTGTTGTTGTTATGTGCCGCGGAGTTGGACCTGACTCATAGTGACCCCTCCTTGGGTTTCCGAGGCAGTATCACTACGGAAGTAGATTGCTCCATCTCTTCAGTTCGGGTTTATTGGAAAGTTTTACTTTGTCAGGTTTGATAATACACATTTTTATAAAAAGTATCTTTTTCATCAGCTTTTTCTCATTTAGGAATATAGAGTTACACATAATATTATTGGGAATTGAAAACATCACCAATTACATATGCTCACCTCCTTTTCTCATGTATTTCTTTAGTCTTTTAATAATTTAGACTTGCCAGGGGATTATCTAATTTATTAAATAAGGTTTTCAATACAAAATTCTTGGATTTATGTATCAATCCTACTGGGCTTCTGCTCTTAAGTTTAGTCTCCTTGGGTTTGTTGCTTTTATTGTAGCTGTTTTGGTGGACTTCTTAATTTATTTATACTCACTCATTTAAAACAATTTTGTTAATAGTAATTGTTTCATTTGACTATCATTTCTTTTATATAACATTCCCTATTTCTTTTATTGTTGTTGTTGTTATGTGCCATCGAGTTGGACCTGACTCAAAGCGACCCCTCCTTGGGTTTCTGAGGCAGTATCACTAAGGAAGTAGATTGCCCAACCTTCCTTCCGAAGAGTGGCTGGTGGATTTGAACCGCTAGCCTTCTGGTTAGCAGTCAAGTGCCTTAGGCACTATGCTACC